AGCACTTCCACATTCATGTATAGGCTTTTATGAATACAAACGATCATATTTCTAAGACACAATCTGGAATACATTTTCGGGCTTCATCTTTACCAGCATTCTTCCTGGTATATTGTAAGAGCCACTTCTATCATCTATTTAAGTCACAAGTTTTGCAAAACTTTAATATGGGAATTTTTACATTTTTTAACATACACAGTAATCAATCCCTGACTCTAACTTTAATTTTGGAAAAAGAGAAATTCCATTTTAAATTTAAAATATTTTTCCTATAGTCACCGATTTGGACAAAATTTTTTTAAACACGGCAGAAAACACCTCAGCTCCAAATCTGTGAAATTTCATTGCTATATATCCAATAGTTTCTGATATACCGAGTTATTTCCAAAAATAAAAGTTTCAAACAGATCGATGAGCTTGACTTAATCGAATCAGAAAATGATTTTGCGTGTAGGGCTATTATTTTTGAATGCTATAAACATCTGCACAAATGAACAATACCATTCCCCACAGAAGTGCTGTAGGGTATAATTAAAGCATTTGTTTCTTTTACCATGTCGTAAGTAAATTTTTTTATCCCGCAGAGTGTTGAAAACATATGATATCTGCAATATCCTATTAAAGCAAAAAATATGTACGTGTATAAATTGGTCAAAACTAAAGATTATGAATATATATTTTTCGAGAATAAAATAATATTTTGGCATAACGAAATTCATGTGCATATTGTTTTAACAATAAATACATTTTTTTTGGTATTCAAATATGGGACTGCATGTGATACCAAACAACTGTAACCGGAAGTTGTAATACCTTTTATGCAGAAACGAAATAAATACATACATACATTCATTCATATGTATATGTTTGTTTATACAAGATTAAGGTGATCCCAAATGAAGGTTGGTCTTGTTATCAACTAAATTGGAAGATTACTACAATTCATGACATAAGGAAAATTTTGCCTAAAAGTCTAATCATTTGAAAAATGATAAAAAAGATTCTAAATTTTGAAAATTTTTGAACAAGAAAATAATTCAAGCAAAATTAGTACTTTTTAGAATTAAAGATACTAAATTGGATTTATTCCAGTATGAAAATTAGACTATGGTCTAGTGTCTTTGAAAAATAATGTATTTGCTGACATATAATAATGCAACAAATTTTGAAAATCAAAGTTAATCTCTTAAATACTCTGCTGAAGCCAACACTTTTACTTATTACCAAAAATATGAAATATTAAATACATACATACATTTTTGCAAAATTTTTTAAAAACAAAGAGTAAGAGAAAAACTTCTTGGGATGTTAAAATTTTCAGAATTTTCCGCCAAATTTATACATATAACAACAAAGCAACCAACTGCCCTTGTGCCAAACATGCATGCGTCCATTTATTGTGGGTTGCCAATGTCGATTTTGTTTACTTATTTGGCATATGGCCAAAAAAAACTACTACGACTATATAGGAATTCATACAAACATACATATACTAACTCATAGACACCTACATGTTTTACAAGAAAACAACCACTGACAATAGTAAAAATTGTGGGATAAAAACTAAAAACAACAAGAATAAAAACAAAACCAGAAAAAAAGAATAAATAAGAATGTTATATTCGAGTGTAACGATTCTAAGATACCCACCACTAAAATATGTGCAGCTTTTCTACATTTTAGGTCCTGTATTAAGACTTTTTACGAACTTGTTGGTTGATCAAATTGCTCGATTTTAAATATCGTAATAATCAGTTGTACAACTCAGTCTATCACTTAATGAACTAAAGTATTGCTGCGAATTCAGCAAACATATAAAAAATATAATTGAATATGCTGTAAGCAAGTCCCTCAATAATTTTTCTTTATAATCCGTTTTTATTCTATAACCTATATCCATCCGTAACATATAGAATAACAAAATGAATATACCAGCCACGACTTTGTATGTAAATTTCAAAAATATCAATAAAACAAAACAAAATAAATATTAGCTCGTGCTAGTACAATTGCACAAAAAAGCAAATCAGAGAAAAAACCTTTTCAATTCTCAGCCTTTTCGATTATAATGGTAGTAATAATCGAAAAATATACAAATATAATAAAAAAACATAAATAAATATAATTTCAGCAAATGTTTGTTTAAAGGAATTTATATTTAATACAATTTTTTTTTGTGTTTTGATATATTTTTTTGTTCTTCAAAAGAAGTCAAAATACGTATTTTATTTTATAAGCTCTTTTTTTAATAATTTTATTATTCTTATACATTTTTTTGCAATTGTTTACTTTTTTTAAATAAAATTCTTAAAAAAATCATTGTTTATTTTAAGAAAAGTGAGTGGTTTTTATGAAAAATAAATAAATATGTATAATTTTCTGTTTGTTATTCTACATGTCTGCTTGTTGTCTAAAGTTAAAGATATGAAAATAAATAAATATTAAAAAAATACTTAAAACTAATATGTACTGTATGAAATAGTTTTTTTTTTAAGGAAAACATACTTTTAGTTATACATGTGTCATTTAGAGCTGTCACAGCAAGTGATGACTGTTGACAGGTCATATGTGTATGATCATGACTATGACTATAATTCTTGATATATAGTTATTTCCTTTAAAATATTTTTTATTTACAAGATTTAAATTATTTTAGGAATTTACTTACGAATTTACTTACATGGGGTGAGTTTTTGGTTGAAATTTTAAGTTTTGGGAATTTTGAGGATACATTAGATAAATTTAACCATTAAACATTGCAACTCTATAATGAGGTTAAACATCTAAAGAAAGTATAGTCTATAGACTTTAGACTAGACTACAGACTAGAATATAGACTAGATTATAGACTAGACTAGACTAGACTATAGACTAGACTATAGACTAGACTATAGACTAGACTATAGACTAGATTATAGACTAGACTAGATATAGACTAGACTATAGACTAGACTATAGACTAGACTATAGACTAGACTATAGACTAGACTATAGACTAGACTATAGACTAGACTATAGACTAGACTATAGACTATAGACTAGACTATAGACTAGACTATAGACTAGACTATAGACTAGACTATAGACTAGACTATAGACTAGACTATAGACTAGACTATAGACTAGACTATAGACTAGACTATAGACTAGACTATAGACTAGACTATAGACTAGACTATAGACTAGACTATAGACTAGACTATAGACTAGACTATAGACTAGACTATAGACTAGACTATAGACTAGACTATAGACTAGACTATAGACTAGACTATAGACTAGACTATAGACTAGACTATAGACTAGACTATAGACTAGACTATAGACTAGACTATAGACTAGACTATAGACTAGACTATAGACTAGACTATAGACTAGACTATAGACTAGACTATAGACTAGACTAGACTATAGACTAGACTATAGACTAGACTATAGACTAGACTATAGACTAGACTATAGACTAGACTATAGACTAGACTATAGACTAGACTATAGACTAGACTATAGACTAGACTATAGACTAGACTATAGACTAGACTAGTAGACTAGACTATAGACTAGACTATAGACTAGACTATAGACTAGACTATAGACTAGACTATAGACTAGACTATAGACTAGACTATAGACTAGACTATAGGACTAGACTATAGACTAGACTATAGACTAGACTATAGACTAGACTATAGACTAGACTATAGACTAGACTATAGACTAGACTATAGACTAGACTATAGACTAGACTAGACTATAGACTAGACTATAGACTAGACTATAGACTAGACTATAGACTAGACTATAGACGAGACTATAGACTAGACTATAGACTAGACTATAGACTAGACTATAGACTAGACTATAGACTAGACTATAGACTAGACTATAGAATAGACTCTAGACTAGACTATAGACTAGACTCTAGACTAGACTCTAGACTAGACTATAGACTAGACTATAGACTAGACTATAGACTAGACTATAGACTAGACTTTAGACTAGACTATAGACTAGACTATAGACTAGACTATAGACTAGACTATAGACTAGACTATAGACTAGACTATAGACTAGACTATAGACTAGACTATAGACTAGACTATAGACTAGACTATAGACTAGACTATAGACTAGACTATAGACTAGACTATAGACTAGACTATAGACTAGACTATAGACTAGACTATAGACTAGACTATAGACTAGACTATATAGACTATAAACTAGACTATAGACTAGACTATAGGCTAGACTATAGACTAGACTATAGACTAGACTATAGACTAGACTATAGACTAGACTATAGACTAGACTATAGACTAGACTATAGACTAGACTATAGACTAGACTATAGACTAGACTATAGACTAGACTATAGACTAGACTATAGACTAGACTATAGACTAGACTATAGACTAGACTGTAGACTAGACTGTAGACTAGACTGTAGACTAGACTATAGACTAGACTATAGACTAGAATATAGACTAGACTAGAATATAAACTAGACTGTAGACTAGACTGTAGACTAGACTATAGACTAGAATATAAACTAGACTGTAGACTAGACTGTAGACTAGACTATAGACTAGAATATAGACTAGACTATAGACTATACTATAGACTAGACTATAGACTAGACTATAGACTAGACTATAGACTAGACAATAAACTAGACTATAGACTAGACTATTGACTAGACAATAAACTAGACTATAGACTAGACTATTGACTAGACGATATTCTAGACTTTAGACTATACTGTAACTAGACTATTGACTACACTATAGACCAGACGATAGCCTTTCTATTTAGTACAATCTATTGAAATCCCAATTGGTAGCATTTGAAAGATATCAGGTGTTTTCCTTCTGTTCTAAAACATACTTCTATATATAAACTTTATAATTAAGTAAAAATTTTAATCACTATAAAATACCTTCTTTACAGGAAAACTTCTTTTCAGTCATATTTTAAAATTTCTGTTTTCTTTTCTTCAGATTCACCTCCCACACAACTCATTCTAACAACAACAACTGCTAACATTACCACAACAACAATTAACAACAACGGTAATAATCATAACAACAATAATAGTGATAATATAAATAACAATAATAGTATCAATATTGATACACAATTGCTACAACAACAGCAGCAACAACATCAACAACAATTGCATAATTTATATTCAACATCATTGGAACAAAACACAATAAATAGTACTGAAACATCTAGGACAACAACAACAACAACAGGAAATTTTGTTGCAATACCATTATCGGAACGTCCACCCATAATTTGTATATCGCAACAACAACAAAACGGTAATAATCATCACGAGAATTATTCAAATACAAGTTTAACACGTTCAAAATCGTGTCTGGTGCGTTGGCGTCAGTGTTGCTTAAATTGTAAGTAATATGAAATTACATCTATAAAATTTGGGGGAACATATAAGGGGGCTAGAAAAAAATAATAACATTAAGAAAATGTTTAACTTAAATATTTTTGTAAACATTTACAATAGACCTATTTTAAAAAACTATTTATACACTTGAGCATTTCGCATCTCTAGGGGATTACGCTTGTGTTCAAATGAATCTCTTTCTGAGACAATTAACGATGTCCTTCCGTCTGTCTTTTTGGTGTTCAAATTCTTTCTCGCTTTATTTCATTTCCACAAAGTTTCACTTTGCACTTACTTAAGTTTAAAGAATTTTCAAAACTTTTCTTTTAATACTTCATAACAATAATTTTCCAATTTATTTTCATAGTTTTCACTAAAATTATGGGCAGCAACAATCCCAGTGAAGCTGATCGATATGAATATTATGACTGTAAGTAAAAATTTGTAACAACAAGTAGATTTAAGTGTTTCTGATATGTATTTCATATTTTTATGTTACGAGTGTATTTAGTAACGTTAAATTTTTATAGTTTTTCAAATAAAAAGTAACAATATTTTTAGTATTCAAAGAATGGAAAAAAAAAAATTGTTACACTTAAAAGCATTTTATAAAAGATTTATGCACGTAAATGAAGTGCAGTTAAATAAATCTACCTTTTTTCGTTTATAAACAATGTGTGTTGTAAAGCGTTGTAAAATTACAATATAATAAAAATACAGCATGAATTTTTGGTCATAAAATTAAGATTATCATATTTGCAACATATTGCATTAAAATGTTGCTTAAGCTGATTTGTATTTTACTGTTGAGAGGATTTTGTGTTTAAAAAAATGAGGAAAATATAGCTTTAATACCAAAGGTCAGATATTATTAAATTATTTGATTGAGAATTTCATAAGAATAGATCGATAACTGACAACTCCACCACCGATCTTAAACCAGTTTTTTATTAATAAATCGTTAAAATAAAACGAAAATGATTTGTATTAAAAATAATTCTCTCAGTATCCTGAAAAGTCTCTATTAAAGGACCTTTTCTGAAAAATACTAAAATATTATTCTACTTTACCATTTACTAGTCTATTTGTCCGCCTTTGGACAAGTTTACAGATCGGTCTATGAACTATTCTGCTTACTATTCTGTTGACCAGTTCTAGTCGATAGTATAGTCTATGAGATCCTTCTATAGAACAGTCTATGGAACACTCTTTGAGTATTCTACTAGTTTATTGACATATCTATGGTTGATCAATGGACTAGTCTATAAACTATGGACTTTCTAATGACAATTCCATTGGTCTGTGGACCAGGCTATATTCTAGTCTGTGTGGTAGAAGCAGGACTAGTATATGTAATAATCTATGGAATAGTCTATGGTCAGAACTTTGGATTGGTCTATTGACTAGTCTCTGGACCTTACTCTGGACCTTACTATGGACTAGTCTCTGAATTAGTCGCTTAACTAGTCTATGGACTATTCTTTGGGCCAGTCTATTAAATAGTCTATATACTGATCTATGGACTATGGACTAGTATATGAGATAGTCTATAAACTAGTCTATAAACCATATGGGTAATGATTACACAAAGTACTTTTACATTACATGGTCAATTACAATTACTTGTAATGTGTAATTGAGCAATAACCAATTACAAATACTTGTAATTGTAATTTAAGTTTTCCAATTACAATTACTTGTAATTGCAATTGAAGTTTTGCCAATTACAGTTACTTGTAATTGTCATTAAGGTATTACTAATTACAAATTACATGTAATTATAAGGAACCAAATTCACAATTACAATTAATTGTAATTGGTAAAGCTTCAATTATAATTACTTACCCCCAACCCTGTTATAAACTAATCTTTACACCGGTTAAGAGACAGATCTATTGAATACCGGAGGTCGTGTTTTCTATCTAACTAAAAACTAGTCTATGGACTTGGTCATAAGAAAGTCTATGAACTAGTCTATATGGACAGTTTTATTGGCTTATCTTGGGCTAGCCTGTAGAAGAGTATGTGGACATTACTGACTAATCTATTGATTATTCTGTTTACAGGCAGATTGACTAGTCTTTTAACTAATATGTGGCCCAGTGTATCGACTAGTTAATATGTGTACTAGTTTATCGAATTAATACTGTGGTATTTACCAGCTATTGACACCTCTTTGGACAACTCTATACATAAATTGAAATGGTCTAAATTATCCTCTGAATTAATTTTTCAGACTAAACTGAAGAAAAAAATATTTTTGTTGTTTCTGTTATCAATCATCAACACGTCTTCTATCTATGACAGCAATTATGTTTTCTATTGATTAACAACTAAAATTAAAACTTAATTGAATTTAGTCGTGCACTAAATTGTTCACATTCGCATAAGAAAAAAATGTGTACAATTGTTGTTTAACGAGTGAAACCTAAATGTAATTTATCGTGTTAATCGAATATTGAAAAATAATTTTATCAATCAAAAATTCGTTATAACGCTTTAATAACTTTAACACAACACATCCGTCGATTAAATTGTAATCTTAATAAATATTAATACAAAAAATAATAACCTATATTTCCTTTTCATATAATTTATAACTGAATATTAAAGCTTTTTTACAAACAAACAGTGTAGCTGTTTGGCTACCACTTAACCTTATTTCCTGTTAAGAATAAAAAAAATGGGAAATTGTAAAAATGAAAATACATATTTTTTTTACACATAAACATATAAAAGAAATTGAAAAATATATCTGTTTGAATTGAATCACGTAGATTTTGCATTTATCATAATACATTTATATATTTATATACGTAGATATGTATTTTATAAAATTTTCTGCAAGTTTGTTTGTAAGTCAATTACCCCTGTACAAATAAATTTTTGGATTTTTGATTTCTATCCAGTGAAATATTTGAAATTTTATACTTATTTTTGATTTTATTTTGTTTAAATTTATTTTAATTTTATGGCAAAATCGGTTAAAAAGAAAATCTTTGTAATCAAAAGAAACCCAGAACAAAGCCGGGTACCAAAAGTTAATATACAAATATATATGTATGTATATTATTAAATGTTTAGATATCAATGTGTGAGTTTGTTTGAACACACATATATATGTATTTCATATGAGCAAACAAATGCAAAAAAAAAGTATTTTCTTTGGACAAATCAATAAGTAGAATTTGTCAACAATTTGAACCACAAAATTCAATGTGTATTTACACTTCAATTACACTCACACATATACAATATGCATTCAAACAAAATTATAACGAGAGGAAAGAGAGAGAGAGGAAGGGAAAATAAATAAAAAAATGAATTTAAAAAGGAAGCAAACAGAATAAAAAAAAATATTGAAGGCCAATATAAATACAGACATCTAAAGATTTAAAGCTTTAAATAAAAAAATTCCTCATCCACCTACGCAAAGAAATACATTTAATTTTTATTAAAGTTTAAAAGCAACAATTACAGTAAGCAAGGAATCAAATACACAAACGCAATGAAGTTTTTCTCCATTTTTATACTCTCCCCCATCTTTGTTTATTATCCTCATAATTGTTGTTGTGATTATGATTGTCTGATGTTTCACTACAACAGCTGTACCTAGAGATTAAAGTGAAATGTTCAAGGATAATTTAAGAATAAATTTCCTTAAGGATATCTGAATATTATAGAAAGAACAGTACAATTCAAACAGCAAAAAAAAAAAACGAAAAACTAAACCAGATTGAATAGCTATCATTTGCACGTACTATACAATTAGCTTTCTGTTACTTGAGCAGAGAGAAAAATACGGCTCATGTTCAGATAATTATTGGTTATGTTGTGAACGCAACGAGTATGGATTGAATGTAAATTATAAATGATTTTCTAGGAATATGAAGTATAGGTAGAACTTTAAAGCACCCTCTTCAGTTAGTTGGTTAGTTAGTTAGTTAGTTTGTTAGTTAGTTAGTTAGTTAGTTAGTTAGTTAGTTAGTTAGTTAGTTAGTTAGTTAGTTAGTTAGTTAGTCAGTTAGTTAGTTAGTTAGTTAGTTAGTTAGTTAGTAGTTAGTAGTTAGTTAGTTTAGTAGTTAGTAGTTAGTTAGTTAGTTAGTTAGTTAGTTAGTTAGTTAGTTAGTTAGTAGTTAGTAGTTAGTTAGTTAGTTAGTTAGTTAGTTAGTTAGTTAGTTAGTTAGTTAGTTAGTTAGTTAGTTAGTTAGTTAGTTAGTTAGTTAGTTAGTAGTTAGTTAGTTAGTTAGGTAGTTAGTTAGTTAGTTAGTTAGTTAGTTAGTTGTTAGTTAGTTAGTTAGTTAGTTAGTAGTTAGTAGTTAGTTAGTTAGTTAGTAGTTAGTTAGTTAGTTAGTAGTTAGTTAGTTAGTTAGTTAGTTAGTTAGTTAGTTAGTTAGTTAGTTAGTTAGTTAGTTAGTAGTAGTTAGTTAGTTAGTTAGTTAGTAGTTAGTTAGTTAGTAGTTAGTTGGTTAGTTAGGTAGTTAGTTAGTTAGTTAGTTAGTTGGTTAGTTAGTAGTAGTTAGTTAGTTAGTTAGTTAGTTAGTAGTAGTTAGTTAGTTAGTTAGTTAGTTAGTTAGTTAGTTAGTTAGTTAGTTAGTTAGTTAGTTAGTTAGTTAGTTAGTTAGTTAGTTAGTTAGTTAGTTAGTAGTTAGTTAGTTAGTTAGTTAGTAGTTAGTTAGTTAGTTAGTTAGTAGTTAGTTAGTTAGTTAGTTAGTTAGTTAGTTAGTTAGTTAGTTAGTTAGTTAGTTAGTTAGTTAGTAGTTAGTAGTTAGTTAGTTAGTTAGTTAGTTAGTTAGTTAGTTAGTTAGTTAGTTAGTTAGTTAGTTAGTTAGTTAGTTAGTTAGTTAGTTAGTTAGTAGTTGTTAGTTAGTAGTTAGTTAGTTAGTTAGTTAGTTAGTTAGTTAGTTAGTTAGTTAGTTAGTTAGTTAGTTAGTAGTTAGTAGTTAGTTAGTTAGTTAGTTAGTTAGTAGTTAGTAGTTAGTTAGTAGTTAGTTAGTTAGTTAGTTAGTTAGTTAGTTAGTTAGTTAGTTAGTTAGTAGTTAGTTAGTTAGTTAGTTAGTTAGTTAGTTAGTTAGTTAGTTAGTTAGTTAGTTAGTTAGTTAGTTAGTTAGTTAGTTAGTTAGTTAGTTAGTTAGTTAGTTAGTTAGTTAGTTAGTTAGTTAGTAGTTAGTTAGTTAGTTAGTTAGTAGTTAGTTAGTTAGTTAGTTAGTTAGTTAGTAGTTAGTTAGTTAGTTAGTTAGTTAGTTAGTTAGTTAGTTAGTAGTTAGTTAGTTAGTTAGTAGTTAGTTAGTTAGTTAGTAGTTAGTTAGTTAGTTAGTTAGTTAGTTAGTTAGTTAGTTAGTTAGTTAGTTAGTTAGTTAGTTAGTAGTTAGTTAGTTAGTTAGTTAGTTAGTTAGTTAGTTAGTTAGTAGTTAGTTAGTTAGTTAGTTA